GGACACAGGCCTCGGGCTGGCCGTGCTGCAGCCTGGGTCTTGGCTAAATAAATCAATAGTAGATCACTTGAACAATGAAGGATTAGGCGTAGTAATTTACCTGTAGCAACCACGTCGCACGCCCGTGAGCCCGTCCACGGACACCTACGGCCAACCAGACCCCGTTGTGGGCCCCATGCCGTGTCGTAAGGAAACCCAGCCATGGGCCTGTGCTTTCCCCGTTTGCAAGGCCGGGGGACCTGACATGTGGGCCGCGAGCCCACCTGCAGTGGCATGGGCTTTTACATGTGCAGGCCTCTGCAGTGGCCTATTCCTTCAAAAATGGGATCCCTTTTCCAACAGTATATATAGCCCATACCATTGATGCTCGTTTCGTTTCAGAACTCCGCTATTTTTTTAAGACAATTTCTTGTGCACCATTATAAAAGATGCATCTTCCTTCTCAGCCACTGAAAAAGTTCATCTTGCTTGGTTTGATTTTTTTACCCCTATACGCCACTGCAGTCAACTTCTATGGTAACGACAGCTAACAGGAACTCAAAATGCCCATTTTGCCCATCTTACAGTGGGCCCCACGTGTCATCTTCTCCATCCTTTCCTCTTGCTGTCTTGCACCATAGTCTGCTCGGCTGCGCCGCCAGTCACCACCACGCCAGGCCATCGGCAGCGGCGGTGCCCCGCGCTCTTGTGGGAGGCGGCGGCGGTGCCTGCACATGCCTAGAGGTCCTCGGCGACGAGCGAAGGAGCAGGCGACGAGCAGGTGGCGGAACTCACCTCGAGCGACCTCGGCTCAGCGAGGTGTCCAAGTGCGGCAGGCGAGGGAGGGGGGCTGGCAGGCCAGGCCGGCAGCTATTGAGTTGCCCAGCGCCATCATCCGCTCTCAGAGCTCGGCAGCATGCCCTCTTGCCCGCCATGGATCTCGACCGCGCCGTCCGTTCCTCCTACGCAAGGGCAACAGCTGAAATGTCCTAATAGCTAGAGGGGGTGAATAGCCTAATAAAAATTTCTACAACAACTCTTAACAACACGGTTAGACAATTAAGAGGCGAAGCAAATGTTGCGCTAGTCTACTCAAAATGCAAGCCACCTACCACAATTCTAGTTTAGATAGTATCTATTCACACAATAGCTATAACACTACCCTATGTTAGTGTTCTCTCAAAAGCTAACTAAAGAGCCACACCAACCAAGCAAGCAAGCTCTCACAACTAACTACACTAAAGAGTTTGACAACTAGTTTGCGGTAATGTAAAGAGAGTGATCAAGAAAGTTATACCGCCGTGTAGATGAAGGAACCAATCAATCACAAGAATGAATAACAATGAAGATCAATCACCTCGGAATCAATGATGAACACAATGATTTTTTTACCGAGGTTCACTTGCTTGCCGACAAGCTAGTCCTCGTTGTGGCGATTCACTCACTTAGAGGTTCACGCGCTAATTGGCTTCACACGCCAAACCCTCAATAGGGTGCCGCACAACCAACACAAGATGAGGATCACACAAGCCACGAGCAATCCACTAGAGTACCTTTTGGCGCTCCGCCGGGGAAAGGTCAAGAACCCCTCACAATCACCACGATCAGAGCCGGAGACAATCACCACCCTCCGCTCAACGATCCTCGCTGCTCCAAGCCATCTAGGTGGCAGCAACCACCAAGAGTAACAAGCGAATCCCGCAGCGAAACACGAACACCAAGCGTCCGGTCATTTGATCGACGCTAGTGTCTTCGCTGTTACACCTGACCGGACGCGCCGGTCCAACCGAGGCCAGCGTCCGGTCACTTCTAGTGACCTCCGTCTTTTCTGTCTAGGACACCGGTGGCACCGTCGGACTGTTCGCACTCTACGGGCGGACACTCCGCCGGTGGAGTTTCTTACCCTTGCTCCCAAACTTCGCCACCCTTGATCAAATGTGCCAACCACCAAGTGTATCACCTTGTGCACATGTGTTAGCATATTTTCACAAACATTTTCAAGGGTGTTAGCACTCCACTAGATCCTAAATGCATATGCAATGAGTTAGGGCATCTAGTGGCACTTTGATAACCGCATCCCGATACGAGTTTCACCCCTCTTAATAGTACGGCTATCGATCATAAATGTGATCACACTCACTAAGTGTCTTGATCACCAAAACAAAATGGCTCCTACAATTTATACCTTTGCCTTGAGCCTTTTGTTTTTTTGTTTTTCTCTTTCTTCTTTCGAAGTCCGAGCACTTGATCATCATCATGGCATCACCATCATCATGTTATGATCTTTATTTGCTTCACCACTTGGAGTGTGCTACCTATATCATGATCACTTGATAAACTAGGTTAGCACTTAGGGTTTTCATCAATTCACCAAAACCAAACTAGAGCTTTCAACGGCGGCCACCACCTCGCCCTCCTGGCGATCTGGGGGGGGTCACACTCGCCGCCCAGATGGCTCACTGAAGCGTGCCGTGCGCTCAAGACTCACGCCTGCTGGGGCAACGGCGAGGAGCAGCGGGACAAGAAGGGGAGGGCGGGGCTAGGGCAACCACGCGGAGGGGCGGGAAGGTGTCGAGAGCCGGGCCGGTGAGGAGCGCTTGGCGGCGGAGGCGCGGAGTAGCAACGTTGGGCCGACGAGGGGGCGCTCGGCGGCGGGTGGAGAGGCTAGAAGATGAGAAAGAAGATGATGTGTGGGGCCCACCTGTAAGAGGGGCAAAAGGAACATTTCACGCTCCAATTAGCTGCCGTTTTGACAGTAGTGGCGTATAGGGGTCGAAAAAACCAAACCGGTGGTTGAGAAGGAAGATGAATTTTTCCAGTGGCTGAGAAGGAAGATGCATCTTTTATAATGGCGCACAGGGAATTATCTCTCGTTGGTTTCCTTTTACCGTTTTCGTGCGTTTGGTGCAGCGCAAGGTTGGATGGAATCGTGTGATTGGTTAAGGTCATCCACATTAGGCATTCGATTGGATATTTGGATGGTCCAATCTATATGTTTGGTTGTGTGGTTAAGATGACAAAAATAGTTATACCTCATATAACTTCAAATAGGAACAATATCCTACAATCGATTCTATGATTTTTTATATTATAATAACATAGGAGTATACAAAACGAATAAACAAATACAAATTTTTATTAGACTACTTATTAAGACTAATGTTTGAATTGTTCAAACTAAATATTTTAAATGCTATCAGTAGTACAAATCAAAGTTTTCAAAGCTTGACCTAGATCAGATATATATAGACATATATCTGAGTCAAGTTTCATGAACTCATCATCAGTAAATTAACGACCGATGGACATACATACATATTTTTTTAGATTCAGAAACAAAAAGTATTCCGGTCTCCCTTAACCACAAGCGAATTGAATCAGTGTAGCAGTTCATTACAACCCAAAAGTACTTACACGGTTACACCAATTAACTGCAACATCATTTGTACTCAACTATAAAGCCAAGCACATTGCGACCATTCCCACTCCTATTACTTGGTTTCTAAATAATAGAGCAAAAATCTTTAACCAATAACCAAGCAAGTTGACAATATATCATGTGGTGGTTGCATATTAAAAACGATGGTCCCAATAGAAAACTACATGAAAAGAAAAGATCAAACTACTATATTGCTCTCGTACATTTTTATTTTATTTTATTTGGCTCCAACCATTTACAGGACTACAGTCTCTGGCTCGGAAAGTATAGATGCACACTTTGTCATAAAATAACGGAGATACAATTGAATTCAACCTCCAATAAAATTGTCAAAAGGCGAAATTACCACGTTCCCTACGTCTTGAACGAACCACCTTGAACTTTCCTATTGGATCTGGCCGTCGTCGTGGGGACACGTCATGCGTTGACTGTTTTCCCTTTTTCTTTTCGTTAAGATTGAGATTGAGATTGAGAAGTCCGTACCGACCGCCACCAGCAGGAGGCCGCACAGGTACGCCCGGCCTTGGATACGTACGGCCGGCCAGGCTCCTTTTGTGGGACCCCACGGGCGGACCGTGATGCCGGCGACCATGACATGTGGGGCGGGCCCTCTTGCAGTGAGAGAAAAACCGGGTGAACGAAAGAGTCACATGGAATCCTATATGGAAGCTTCCGCCCCTGGAGAAAACATAGTCTTAGGCCTCGTTCGGCGAGGGCTGTTCCCGGTAGAGATAGTTTCTTGTGAGGGTTTAACTATATAAATTATACCAGCATTTCTGGTAGAAATAATGGTTCCTGTTACCATTCCTGGTAGGATATTTTACAATTTAGAATACATTTTAAATGCTTCAATCAATACCTTATATTTTAGGACGGAAAGAGTATGTACTAGCCTTGTTCGTTTGAACTTTTCAACTATAGAACAATGTTTTTTCTCTCACAGAATCAGCCAGAATAGCCACAGAAACCATCAGCCCTTTTCCTTGCTCAATCATTTTTTTCTTATACATGTTTGGAGGAAAGCAGCACAACAACCGAGTTTTCACCGGTATATATGCTGGAGATCTCTCTATTTCCAAAGGCATACACTGATTGTGACTGTATCCGATTTTAGCTGAGATCTGCACTGCAACACAGCATTGTACTAGTGCTAGTACTAGTGTAGTACACTAGGACGGCCATCGTTGCAAAATCACAAGTTCGCAGGGACCTGTCCGCGAGAACCACACAGACAACGTCATCCACGACACCAGGTTCCATCTGTCAGTTACCACAGTGACACTTCCTGCTTCCTGCTTCCACCACCATTAATAAACAACTCCTGTGCTCCCCTCCTCCCATTCTCTCTCCACCACCACCCGCCCTCGCCGCGCCGCCACCACCGCAACCAACCATTCTTCACCCCCGCCGCCGCTGGCCAACGCCCACTCGCCGCAGTCTTCGCCTTGCTCTCGTCCCAACACAACCAAGCCTCTCCTCGCCAGCCAGCCAGCTAGCTAGCGAACCGTCGCTCGAGCTTCCCGCCGCGCTCGCCACCGTCCACCCGCGGGATCCATCGGATCTCGCCCAGCGCACCAGCGCGATGAGCCACGACTCCGGGTCCAGCGCCGGCGCAGGCGTGGAGTCCCTCTCGCTGGACCTACTCGCCCACGCGCTGGCGGGCGTCCGCGACCCGCGGGACCGCAAGTCGTGCCGCCTCGCCAGCCGCGCCTTCGCTCGCGCCGAGGCCGCGTCCCGCCGCGCCGCGCGGGTGCTCCGCCGGGAGGCGCTCCCGCGGGCGCTGCGCACGTTCCCGGCGCTGTCCTCGCTCGACCTCTCCGCGTGCGCGGGCCTCGACGACGCCTCCCTCGCCGCCGCGCTGCCCGTCCCCGGCTCCTCCGCCGAGCCGCCGGGCCTGCTGCTGCCCGTCCGCCGGGTGCGGCTCGCGCGGGCCAGCGGCGTCGGGTGGCGCGGCCTGGAGGCGCTCGTGGCGGCGTGCCCGAGGCTCGAGGCCGTCGACCTCTCCCACTGCGTCGCCGCCGGGGACAGGGAGATGGCCGCCCTCGCCGCGGCCGGGCTCAGGGAGCTCGTCATGGACAAGTGCCTCGGCGTCACCGACGTCGGGCTCGCCAAGGTCGCCGTCGGCTGCCCCGGGCTCCAGAGTCTCAACGTCAAGTGGTGCCGCGAGATCTCCGACATCGGCGTCAAGCTGCTCGCCAAGAAGTGCCCCGAACTGCGCAGCGTCGACATCTCCTACCTCAAGGTAGCGCCTCAATCTCAAATTTAGTTATTAGTGTCAGTAGGACTGAGAAAAAAACTGAGATTGCTCTCATTTAATCAATTGGTACTGCTTGTGACCTGACCACCTGACTTCTCCAGAATTCGTAGCGTTCAATGATGTGTGGACTGGGTACAGCGAGTGTGCAACGTTTCCATTAGAAATTGTTTATAGGAGGCTGTTTTCCATTCAAAATTCTTTTTTTTTTTCTTAGTGTTTGGGCTTCTTACAACAACAACAATAACCAAGAATATTTTATCTTGAGACAGCATAAGTAGAAGCTCTGTGATCTGAATTTCTTTAGCACCTTGATATTGGTTGGTTGGTCAATTCTTTCTATTAATTTTGGCTCCAGATGTCAGAGAATTAAAGTCCATTAGAATTTCGTTGAATGTACTTGGGTTCTGTCAACAAATTTGGTGCATAAGTAGACTGAATTTCACTTACAAGGCTATGCTTCACTCGCCCATTTGAATACACTTGGGTTTTAGTGTTTGGGCTGGTTGCCTGGTTCCCTCACGAATATTTGATGCATTTTCAGCTTTCCTGCATTTTCTTGCTGGTAAAGTGTCTGATTAAACATTGGTTGTTTCTTACAGCAACAACAATAACCAAGAATGTTTTATCTTGATACAGCGTAATTAGCACCTTGATATTGATTGGTTGGTCAATTCTTTCTATTAATTTGGCTCCAGATGTCAGAGAATTAAAGTCCATTAGAATTTCGTTAAATGTACTTAGGTTCTGTCAAGAAATTTGATTTATATGTAGACTAAATTTCACTTACAAGGGTATGGTTCACTCGCCCATTTGAATTCATGACATATGTACACCTGCTATCTACCTACAATATATATAGTATATACCTAATGCGGCTCGACGGTACTGATTGTTTCTTGTTTGTATCTAAGAATGCTCAAATTTCTTATGTCTTGTTTCCCAGGTGACCAATGAATCCCTTAGATCACTCTCCACTCTTGAGAAGCTAGAGGACATAGCAATGGTCAGCTGCTTGTTTATAGATGATGATGGCCTACAAATGCTAAGTATGTGCAACTCGCTGCAGGTATAACACCTTGCAAGGATGCTGATCTTGTATGAACTTCATACTTTAATATGTGCTGCCAGCTTTCCTTTTGTTACCTCTGTGCCTATGTGCTTACTGGATTTTCAATTTCACCTGTTTTAGAGTATTGATGTATCGAGGTGTCACCATGTGTCTTCTCTGGGCTTAGCTTCACTCATAGACGGTCAAAGATTTCTCCGAAAAATAAATGCTGCGCACAGTTTGCATGTGAGTAGAGTTCCTTTTCTCTTTGCCTTTCGAGAACAAATCGTTGAGACCATGATTTCGTTTAAGCAGTAAAATTCGCATTTCCAATGGTTGTTCACCTTCTGCGGTCGCACTTGCAGGAGATAGAGATTTGTGTTCTGAGCAAATTATCAACAATAGGCGAAACTTTGACTGTTTTAAGACTCGATGGCCTTGAAATCTTTGCCTCAAATCTTCAGGCAATTGGTTCTACCTGCAAGAATTTGGTTGAGATTGGGCTTAGCAAATGCAATGGCGTTACAGATGATGGTATTGTTTCGCTAGTTGCTCATTGCTGTGACTTAAGGACTATCGACGTGACATGCTGCCATCTTCTTACAAATGATGCCCTTGCTGCAATTGCCGAGAACTGTAGAAAGATTGAATGCCTTCGACTGGAATCCTGCCCTTTTATAAGTGAGAAGGGACTAGAGCCAATCGCAACCCTCTGTTCCCACCTTAAGGAGATTGACCTCACTGACTGTCGTATTAATGATGCAGGTAACTGAAAAGTAGCTGTGCCATATTTTTTTATAGGAAAAGTTCATTCCTAAATTTGAGCTCATCATTTGAAATCCCACATTTTCAGCTTTGCAGCACTTGGCAAGTTGCTCGGAACTGCTGATCTTGAAGCTTGGCCTCTGCTCTAGCATTTCTGATGAAGGCCTTGTTTATATTAGTTCAAACTGTGGAAAGCTTGTGGAACTTGATCTATACCGGTAATCAATATTTATATTTATGCTTTAGAAATTATTTATTGATTAATCATTGGTCTCTAAACTAAAGCACACTTGTTTATCTTTCCCACAGTTGTAGTGCTATTACTGATGATGGGCTGGCAGCTGTAGCTAGTGGCTGCAAGAAGATCAGGATGCTAAACTTATGCTATTGCACCCAAATCACCGATGCTGGTTTGAAGCATGTAAGCGCTCTGGAAGAACTCACAAACCTGGAATTGAGATGCCTGCGGCGCATCACGGGCATTGGGATCACCTCCATCGCCATTGGTTGCACTAGCCTGATAGAACTGGACCTTAAACGCTGTTATTCTGTGGATGATGCTGGCCTGTGGGCTCTTTCAAGATACTCCCAGAACCTTAGACAAGTAAAGAACTCAACGACTTCATCTTCTCCTTTTGTAATTTGTGAAGCATCAGGGACATTACAGGTTGCTGTCCGGTTTGTTTGCAGCTTACTATCTCCTACTGTCAAGTCACTGGCCTGGGCCTGTGCCATCTGCTGGGCTCACTGAGGTGCCTCCAGGACGTGAAGATGGTTCACCTCTCCTGGGTCTCCATTGAAGGGTTTGAGATGAGGCGCTGAGGCGGCGTGTGTGAGAGGCTGAAGAAGCTGAAGCTGCTGGGTGGGTTGAGGTCTGTGCTCTCCACCGAGCTGCTCCAGATGCTGCAGGCTTGTAGGGCTGCGCTGTGTCCGCTGGGTTGACAACCTGTCCTTCAATGCAGTGTTCAAACTTTCAGAGTTCCTACAAGGGATGAGCTTGAACTGGCCTGGCAAATCAAGGAGATAGGCATCCTTGAGATCAGAGGAACACGCTGGTCAGCAGCAGTGCCCAGCTGAGACTGTAGAAGACCATGTCGCTGAGACTGATGGTGTCTGTAACCTGTCCTTCAATGCAGTGTGCAAACTTTCAGAGTTCCTTGCATTATGATGACTGTCCATTTTCAGAACTCGTCTCTGTAACTGGCATTTCTGGCACGAACTTTGTAAGATCTCCAGCATCTGAATTCAAAGTTTACCCCCATTTTGGTCCATTTCTTGCCTGAATATTTGCAAACAGTCCCCAAAATTTTCTAATTAGATCCCTAAACTGGATCATATTTATTTTAACTGCATATATCCCTAAACTGGATCATATTTATTTTAACTGCATATAGCCTCTCATATTTACAACCAACACCCTGGTTGGAATCACAACTAATAATTAAAATATTGCCCCTGCTTATTTACAAACATCAGGGACAACCAAACAGCAAGCAAGAATCACATTTGTTCACTGAATTCTTTCTTCTAAAATGTAATCTTACAGTACTGCTAATTCACAGCCAAACATAACAGTAGTCGTTCCTTCAAGCCTCAGCAACAAACGCTGATGTTTCTGCTCTTCCTGCAATGACTGACGATACAATCTGGACTAATCTGGATTCTAGCCTGAAGTCATAAGTAAGTTCAAGTTATCTATACTATCAATACTGCCTATCAATCTTCTTCCTTTCTGTTTTTTGGGGGGGTTCATCAGTTAGTCCAACCGGTTGTCAGTGTCATCCTCATCCTCTGCAAGCTTGTCGATCAGCATCTCCATCGTCTCGATGTACCTCGGCATGTAATGGTCTCTGATCATGGTTCTCGCCAGCCTGATCTTGCCATACATGCTGCGAGGGGTCTCATAGATGGCAACTACCTCATGCTGGTGGCATTGCTCGCCGGTGCTCAGCCCTTCTGGTGCTGGCAGCTCAACCATGTGCATGATTCTGCCCGGAGGGTACAGCTGGTGAGGATCCTGGGAGACCATTCGCGATGATCGCAAGGCCTTCAGAAGCTGATCCATGTGTTCTTGGTCTGTTGCTTTCTCCTCTGGGTCAGTCTCCACTGAATCTGATTTCTGACGGTTGAGTTCTCCAGGAAAGCATGAGGCTGGTTCTCTTGCAATTGTTGGCTTTTCAGTGGTTTGCTCGGTTCCTCTGTATGTAGGCATCAATGCTGGAATGCCCTGAGTGGGGTTCACCAGAGCCTCCAGAAATTGCGTATTAACAGCGACAGATGACCAGCAGGACAGTGAAGAGTGCTTCTGCACAGCGGCACGCACATTTGCTGAAAGGTTCAACTCATCCTGGGATGGCATGAGGAATCAGTTCAGTGAATTACAAATAAAAACATCAAAGAATGTTTTTTTGGAGAGTAGCCACATCAGTAAGACAGTAATACAATTATTTTCTTCAAAGAACGTGGTGCTTTGGGTTTACCATAGGAGTGTTGTCAGATCCTGTGTTGGATACAAAGGGAATGTGGGATCGCATGAAATTCACAGAGCTATTTACAAAACCCAAGATTCTTGTTTGCTGAATTTGTTCTTGGAGGTCTGGAGCCCATGATGATGCCATAACCTGCAGAAGATTTTAAGACAATTCAAAGGCTATTAATTAATGAGAGAAAATGTGTTTCATAGTTCCAGACGTCACTACTACTTGAAACTCAGTAAACATTGTTGTCTCGAGATCTCTCTGCATAGGTGAGCAATCCACTCACCGCACACTCACACTAGGCTAGAGGTTGAAGAGGGGTTGAGAACAACACACACACGAGCTCCAGCTGGTCGGATCTGTTTCCTGAATGTAGCGAACTGAACTACTGATTTCTATTGTTATGCATGAGTATATGTATAACTCTAGCTGTACCTTACCTGTGCAGTACAAGGGTAGTTGGCAAGTACTCCAACCCCCAACTACTCCTATCTAATCCTAGACATACAGATTACGACCTATTGCCATGTGCTGCACGGGAACAATGATGGGACAACAGGCTGACTTTTGCTATCCACACGTGAGAGAGGAGAGCAGCAAGTTATGTATTACAATTCTTCCCCTAACTCTCGCTGCTAACTGAAGCCTTGACCTCATCCATGCCAATCATCCTCCTCACTCCGTGAACCAAGACGTCCGAAAGGATCGGGTGAGGATATCGGCGAGTTGCCACCGCGTTTCGACGAACTCGATGACGATCTGCCCTCCATCGACACAGTCCCTGAGGAAGTAGAACTTGATGTCGATGTGCTTGTTCCGGTCGTGGAGGACCGGGTTCTTGGTGAGCGCGAGGGCGGGCTGGTTGTCCACCATCAGTGCTGGCGGATGAGCTTCCTCGCGGTCGGCTTCGCCAAAGAAATTTGAGCGCATACAACAACACGTCGTCATTGTGGCTGCCGCCACGTACTCGCCTTGCACGAGACAAACGCCACCACCTTACGCTTTCAAATGATGACCATGAAATTGAGGCCGACCGAGGAAGACGGGCACGTCGGAGGTGCTCCGCCATCCGTCGATGTCGCCCGCCATATCGGCATCGCTGAAGACCGTGAGCCACAGCCCACTTCCTCTGCCGGTCTTGGGGAAGACGATCCCCTGATCCATCGTCCCCTTGACGTAGCGCAACAGCCGCTTCACCGTGGCCCAATGATCCTCTCTAGGATCCTCCATGAAGCGGCTAACATAGCCCACGGCGAACGCAATGTCCGGACTCGTGTGGACTAGATAGCCTAGCCCGCCGACGATGCTCCGGTAGAGTGTTGCATCTACCTTCGCCGCGGTGCTGGTCTTTGTCAACTTCAGCTGCTCTTCCATAGGAGTCGCACATGGCTTGCAATCCGCCATGCCGCTCCGCTCCAACAGCTTCGCCGCATACGCGCTCTGACCGAACGTGAGCGCCTCCTTCCCCTGTCTCACCTCAATACCAAGGTAGCAGGAGAGCGTGCCGAGATCGCTCATTCGAAAACGAGCCGTCATCTCGCACTTGAAGTTGTCGATGTCCTCCGCACGCGCGCTGGTGACGATCAAGTCGTTCACATACACGACGCCGACAAGCTCCTCCTTCCCTCATCACCGCGTGTAGAGCGCGTGATCTGTTGCACAATGCGTGAACCCAAGCGCGCCCAGCGTGGCGTCAAGCTTGGTGTTCCACGCCCGCAGGGCATGCCGTAGCCCGTAGAGCGCCTTACGCAGTCAGAGCACCTTGTGCTCTGCTCCCTTGATGGCAAAGCCCGGAGCTTGCCTGATGAAGACTGTCTCCGCCAGCTCGCCGTTGAGGAAGGCCAATTTAAAGCCTAGGTGATGAATGCGACAGTCCTTAGCCGCTACCAGAGCCAACAGCAGTCGGACGGACTCCATGCGCGCCACTGGTGCAAAGACTTCCTCGAAGTCGATGCTCTCGCGCTGGACGAAGCCGCGGCGATGAGGCGTGCCTTGTGCTTGACGATGGTGCCGCACTCGTCCCGCTTCACCTTGTACACCCACTTCAGCCCAATCGGACGGCATCTAGGAGGCGGATCAACGAGCTCCCAAGTCTCGTTCTCCTCGATCGCCTTCATCTCCTCCAGCATCGCCCGTCGCCAATTGGCGTCGCGCTCAGGCAGCGTGAACGTGGGTGGCTCCTCCGCACTGACAAGAAGTAGCTCTCGATCGTCGAGCAGCCGACTCGCCAGGCCCGAGGCCCCTACATTGCCAACGATGTTTTCCAACCTGCGGAACCACACCTCCTCGCTGTCGTGGAAGGCATCCATGAACTCGCTGATGTCGCTTGGAGGAGAGGTGAACTCGATCAATGGAGTCCCTTGTTCTGCCGGAGTGGTCGGTACTGCTGCTGGAGTGCTCGGCACCACTGCTGGAGTGCTTGGCACCACTCCTGGACCGCTGGGCACCACTCCTGGAGTGCTTGGCACCAATGTAGGACTGCTCGGCACCACTCCTAGAGTGCTCGGCCCCACTCCTGGAGTGGTCAGAGCCACTGCCGGAGTGCTCAGCTCTACTGCTGGAGTGGTCGGCACCTCCTCTATAGCGTCTCCACCACCGTGGATGACTAAGTGCTCAACGACAAAGGTGCTGCTGAAGCTGCCAGCTTCCCCGGTGCCCGGACCATCCCTGTCCCAGATCACCTTCTCGTCGAATACGTCGTCGCGCGAGACAACCACCTTGCCTCCACGCGGGTTGTAGAGCCGATACGCCTTGGTGCCCTACTCGTAGCCCAGGAGCACCATCGACGTGCTCCTGTCTTCCAGCTTGGTAAGGAACGGCTTCGTCTTCTTGACGTGGCCGATGCAACCAAACGTCCTAAGGAAGGACACGCTCGGCTTGCGCCCGTACCAAGCTTCGAACTACATTACGCCCTTTGGGGCTTTTATGGGAGCGTGGTTAAGGATGAACACCGCTGTGGTCACCGCATCTCCCCAGAACTCCACCGGCATGCTCTTGGCCTTCATCATGGATCGATCCATGCCGACCACCGTCTGGTTCCGCCACTCCACTATGCCATTCTACTGCGGTGAGTACGGTGCGATGTGGTGTCGCACCACACCCTGATCCACGTAGTACGTAGCGAACTCCACCGAAGTGAATTCGCCGCCGTGATCTGTCCTCAGCACGCGCAGCTTCTTCCCGGACTCTGCCTCCGCCCGTGTCTGGAACCTCTTGATCGCATCTGCCGCCTCATCCTTGGTTGTCAGGAGTTGCAGCTACATGTAGCGACTGTAACCATCCATGAGCAGAAGGAAATACCGCAGCACGCCGTACATGGCCGACGTGATTGGCCCATAGAGGTCG